TTTTTTTTGATATTGATTATGTATCGATTGTAAAAAATTTTCAAATTAATTATCGATAGTTACCTTTTTTATTTAACATTTTGCTTTAAGTATATAAAATTTTTTTCTTTTTATTTATTTATTTCAAAAGAAAATTTTATTAAAAATTTTTTATTTTTTTTTTTTGTACGAGTGTATTTACTTTTCAATGATAAAAATTTAATTTTTATTTTTATTTTTATTAATAAATAAATGTTATTTATTTTAATTACGATTATTATTATTATTAAGAAAATCTTATTATAATTAAATCAAACTTATCATATTCAAAAATGAAAAAAAAAAATAATCAGAAGAATTTTTTTTATGTTTTCTATCGATTCCAAAAAAAATAAATAAATAAAATTTTATGTATAAAATTGAGAGACGATTTTAAACGTGCCAATAAATTTAATAATCCGAATTTCAATTATCTATTTTTTTTTTTTTTTCAATTATATAATATGAAAATAATTCTAGTCGTATTATTATTATGTTTTCCTGTATATCGTAATTATATTCATTTTTATATGTACGTTTATGTAATCAACAACAACAACTTGTTAAGTTTTTTTTTTTTTTTCCTTTTTTTCTATTTTTTGGGATTAATTTAAAAAAAAAAAAAATTTGTATTATTATAACTCGTTTAACGCCGGTAAACATTTTTTTTTTTTTTTTTCCGTTGGGGAGGATTTAAAATTTTTTTTTTTATTAAATAAATATGTTTTTGTGATACATATATGTACATAAACCGTCTTTTAATTTTTTTTTACCTTTAAAAATTAGGATAATTTGAATTATTAACGAAAAGAAACTAACATTTACACTATACAGATATATATTTTATTTTCGTTAAGTAAATTTTTCTATTTCACAAATAAATATAATTCCGACGTTCTACACTATAGATATACAAGTGAGAAAGCCTTTTTTTTTTTCGTAATAATTATTATTTTTTGTAGCCTTTGAAATTTTAAATAAAATTAATCCGGTAATTAAATACGACAACGTCATATACAGCGTCACGCCTATGTTTTTTTTATTTAAATTTTATTATTTGGGTTGAAACATCATAAATCTTTCCGTACCTAAAATCAATTTACGACAGTCGGATTTAATATTCGATGCGAATTTAAAATCAATAAAACGATTAGATCAGTTTTTTTTTTTTTTTTTTTTTTATTAGAAAATTACATAAACGTGTACTTACCATTTCTGATGCCCAAAGCCTGTTCCAACTCTGCTCTTTTCTGTTGGACTTTTGTATAAAAATATCGACACACGGCTTCTTGTGCCCACGGTTGATAATAGTATTCACTTCGACGTTCTTCTTCTGGATTTCCCACGACGTCTGTCATGGTCTGTAAAAAAAAAAAAAAAAAATGGATAAAATTATTCGCAAGTTGAGAACAATAAACAAAATAATTTAAATGTGCGTCTAATGTTTCCATATAAAAAAAATAAACTTACCTTCAAATCTCTAGTTTGTGAAATTATCCATTTGTTAATAAATTGTTGTGGATCTTTTGCAAAACTAAGGAAAAACTCTCTGTTGGTTTTCAACTGATTGATGGTATCCACCGTTTCGTGAATTTTATTATCTAAACTTTGAATTTCTTGTTGACTTGCTGTAGACAGCAAAAAATTGTTCATTTGAGTTTTTAATGTGTCATCAACTTCGACATCGATATCATAACAAGCTGTTTGTTTCTGCTCTGTTCCTTCAACGCTGCAACAAAATATTTTTTTATTTAATTTATCGTTATTTGAATAATAATAATAAATATTTCAATTTTACTTTACCTAATAATGTGATTAATAACAATGGGATCTGGAGGATGCAAAAGTGGATTTAATCTCTGGGGGATTTCAGCAAATTTCATTCTTGGACATGTGAATATTTGTTCTAAATATTTATCACAATTAATGAATTCTCTTTCGTGTGCATCCTAAAATTCAGTTTTTAAAATTATTAATGTATTTTATTATGGTAATTAGTATTAATTCATTGATTCCTTACCTGCAATTTATGAGTTTTTATGTATTGCCAAAGAGCAGATATAATTACAGGCCTAGTTTGTGTGTGAACACCGAGTAATCTTGCCAACCTAGGATCTAATTTAAATTGTAAAGGCTGATAATCTAATAAAAGAAGAATAGTACACCTAACATTTTTGTCTCCAGGTCTTTTAACTTGAAAACCATCAGTTTCTTGTGTGGTAGCAGTTCTGTGCCATTCAACTAAATGATTGTCAGGTCCATATAAGTCCTTATCTAATTCAATAACCAAACTTTTAAAAAAAGATGAAAATTTTCTTTTAACCTGCAAAAACAAAAAATTATTAATTTAATTTTTAAATAATCGATAAATGAAATTTTGCAAAATTTTAAATATGAAAATCTTCAAGTTACCTTGTTTGGATCATTTTTAGAATCATCTAATAATCTGCCTTCAACTCTAAGCTCCCAAGATGCAACACTACCTTCTTCACCTTCTGAAGGTTCTTTAGAAGGATAAAAAGTGTTAGATATAAATATTCTCAATTTTCTTTTCTGTTTCATAGGTCTTTTTAATGCTTCTTGTATGTCAAGCCTTTTTCTCATAATTGTTGAGTCCAATTTTCTTTCAAATGCCAATAGATCCATGTATGCTTGAGATTCAGGGACTAAATCCCTTATTTTTTGAGGTAAAATTTTATCAGCTAATTTTTTTTTCTTTTTCGGCATTTGATGAACAGCAAAATCGCTTTAAAAAAAGATTATACATCAAGTATTAAATAATAATTATGTGAAATTTAAAAGAACAGTAATACTCACGTTTTAGATTGTGCTGTTGGAGGAGGATTTCTGTCACCAGGTCCTCTTTTTGCCGGGTTAGGAGCTCCAAGTCTAGGAACATAAGGAGCCGATGCTCTTGGGCTTTGCTGAGCCATTATATTCCCACCCGAAGTTGGCGGTCCATTAAAAGTAGGACGATTTTGAATCTAAAGTATTTAAAAAGTTACAAATAAATGCTTCAAGTTCATGACTGAATTTGTAAAAAGAAAACAAACGTATAAATGCTTATTACTATTGTAAATGAACCACTATAATTTTTTTTAGGAACCATAAAATATTAAAACTTACTGGAAAACTTGGGCCGGCAAATTGACGCAAAGGTGGAACCTGAGGTCCTGGATATCTTTGAGCAGGAGGAGATTGTGCATTTGTACTACTAAATCTCTGAGACATGATTTTTAAATATATAAATTACAAACATTAAATATGCGTCCTCACAACTTAACTTCTAATTCTACAGCCACGTATTAAACGTGGAAATAACTAATCAAAATCTAAACAAACGTTTATTCATTATTAAATATTATGTCAAATTTGTAAAATTTTTTATTTTTTATTTTTATTTAACAAGTGTATAACAATTTATTTTACTTCAGGGCTCTCGTAAGCATTTCAAAGGTTTCCTAAAGTAATTATAAGCAGCTGTATTCCCTTAAGTTTTTAGAAAAATTGATTTGTATTTATTTACGTAATCAATAGCTTAGAACGTAATATTAATTATTATTTATTTAAAAAAAAAAAATTTGTAATTGCAGGTTATTTATTCGTATACAATGTTCTCCGGTATTCATTCTTTATTTTTTGGAAAAAAGCACAAACACAAGGGAGAAGATTCAAGTGAATCTCAAGCCTCGGTAGACAACGATTTTGTTATATTAGAAAGGAGACATTCTGATGAATATGATAAAAATTCAGGAATATATCCCGATTTAGACCCATCAAATCCATCTTCTAGTAATTTACCATACGCTGCATCTCCTAGTTTGCCTAATCTTAATGAAGTCGGTCTAGATTCAGGGAAAAAAAAAGAAGAACCTAGAATAGACATGTTACAAGCTGTACCTTTTCAACTTTCACCTGAAATTTTGCTGCTTGATGAAGAAAATAATAAAGAAATAGACAGTATAATAGATTCATTAAATGATATCAAAGATTCAGGTGATGACAGTTTTTTAGAAAATTTTAGCTACGATTTTGAATTGGAGCACTCAATTTCTTTGCAATTTTCTTAAGTAAAAATAGATAAAATTTTTAAATGAATTTAAATAGTGTATGAATTTACTTAATTTTATTTTCATTACACCAATTCATGTAATTATCTTTATAAATCAAAATAATTATGTGTATAATTATTTATTTGTAATATACTCTTTTGGTAGTATAATTGTGAATATGTAACTTTAAAAAACTTATTTAGCTTTTTTTTTGCAAAATAAAGCTTTTATGTATCTTACATTTCATTGTATATTTAAAATAAGCTTGGTTTTTTTTTTTTTTAAAATAAATATTAATTAAAACATTTTAATGAAATGCATCACCTAAAATAAACAAATAAAATTTTTTTAAGCTTAGTGTTATCAATGATAACAAAATACTAATATAATTGCAAAA